ACGGAGCAGCTGCTCCAGTCCAGGAGCCAGTGTGAGCTGGGAGTGAGCAGTCCTGGCTCGCACCTGCTCCAGATCACTAGGGATCTGCATTCTAAATGTAATAAGGGCCCAGCAGCTCTTCATATATTTAAAATGCAGAGCTCCAGTGGTCTAGAGCCAGTGCAAGCCCTCGCTGTAGCTCTGCAGAGTGGCCCTTATCGACTAATCAGCTGCTCCAGTCCAGGAGCCAGTGTGAGCTGGGAGTGAGCAGTCCTGGCTCGCACCTGCTCCAGATCACTAGGGATCTGCATTCTAAATGTAATAAGGGCCCAGCAGCTCTTCATATATTTAAAATGCAGAGCTCCAGTGGTCTAGAGCCAGTGCAAGCCCTCGCTGTAGCTCTGCAGAGTGGCCCTTATCGACTAATCAGGTACATGATTAGCCAGATAACTGCTCTTTAACATCCTTAGTGCCAAGCTTATGGCTACTTCCTCTATGTATCCTGAGGTCATGTCTGGACCATGTAACATGATTTTTGTTTCAGTTATTTGTTCCTGATGCCAGAACGACAGCACTGGCAACAGCCACAGGACAGGTGCATCATGGGAAGCAGCAGGGGCCACGTCCTGCCCCTCCCCTGGCCCGAATCACCCAGCCTAAAATCCAATTACTGATTTGGAACAATGGAATCTCTAATAATCACTTCATAAAAAAAGCCTTAGAATTAACATACTTATTAAAATAAAACTAATGTTTTCATTATTTCCTCAGATGGCGCTTTCTTGGCAGAAGCAGGTGAAAATGAGAAATTAGCAGAGCAAGTGCTCCAAGGGGTAGATGAGCAAAAAGCACTTGAGAAGGAGGAAGAGTCTGTAGCTCAGGAAGGAGCCACTGACACTGAAGAAGGAGGCAATGAAACAGGTCTGGAGACAGATTTACTGGCTAAGGAAGAAGCAGGAGCTGTGATGGGACAGACAGTGGGTAATGTACTCACAGTACAAGAAGAAGCATCGGAGGAGCAGCAAATAATGGAAGAAGATCTGGAGAGAAGTAGGGTAGGAAAGGAAATGACATTTGAGGGAGAGGGGATGATGCAGGAAGAAGTAAATGAAGATGAGGGGGCAGTGGGAAAGGCAACATATGAGGAGAAGGTGGTAGAGAAAGTATTATTTGAAGGCGAGGAAGTGCCTGAAGGAGAGGAGATCATGAAGGAAGCCACATCTGATGCAGAGGTGGCTATGGGGATGGCAGAAGATGTAGGAAAGGCAGCATCTGAGGCAGAGGAGGCTTTGGAAGCAGCAGGATCTGAGGGAAAGGAGTCTGTGGAGGATTCAGTTGCAGAAGGGATAGAATTGGAAAGAGAGGAGGTTGTGGAGGAGGCAGCTTCCGAGGGAGGGGTGGCTATAGGAGAGGCAGAATTTGCACTAGAGGAATCAGTGAAGGTTCCCATACTGGGAGCAGCAACTGAAATAGAGGAATCTGTGGAATCAAGAGAAGTTCTGATAGGTAAAGCAGTGACTGATGTGGAAGAGGCAGCAACAGAAGAACAATCCGAGGAGGAGGATGTAATGGAAGCAACCCGAGAGGAGAAAGAGACAAGAAATGAAACCACGGAAGAAGAGTCAGAAGTAGAGGAATCAGCACCTCCCAGGGAAGAAACCTCATTGGATAGAAAAATAAAAATGGAGATTGCAATAGAGGAAGGAGCACACAAAGATGGGGAGAGCCTGGCGGAAGCACCTGAAGAGGAAGTAGCAGCCATTGATCCAGAAACTGAGGAAGAGGTAGCAGATGAAGGAATTCACAGAGAGGAATTGGTATCTGAGGAAATAGCATATATGGCAGAAGAACTGATGAAGACGGGTGAGGAGAAAGTGACAGAGGAAGCAAAAGAGAATAAATTGTGGATAGGAAAAAAGGTACCTATTGATGAAGCATCAATAGATGAATCCACAATAAATGAAGAGGCGGTAGCTGAGAGAGCAGAAATGGAGGAGTTGGAAGTGACTGATGGCATGGCAATGGAGGAAGTGAAGATGGCTGAGGGAGCCACAATGGAGAAAGTTGTGACTGAGGAGTCAGGAGAAAGAGAGGGGGAGGGAATGTCAGAATTACCAGCATCTGAGGAGGCAACATCAGAGGATATAGGAGGTAAAGGGAAAGTAATGGGCATTAAAACACCATCTCAAGAAGAGGAGTTAGTAGAGAAATCAGAATCTGGTGAGAAAGGAAGTGCAGATGTATTATTGGATTGGAAGGTGCAGACAGAGGATGCAGGACGTGAAGAGGGCCAGGCAGAGGAGGATTCAGGCTCAGAAAAGAAGAAGGTGATGACCAAGGAGATAATACCCAATGACAACATGGGATTAGAAAGAACATTGCCTGAGGAGAAGAACTTGATGATACCAGCATCTCTGTTGGATGAAGTGGAAGCTGTGGAAGCATCACCTGAGGTGGAAGGCATGACACAGGAAATGGCATATGGCAGGGGTGTAATGGAGAAGGATGCAGTCCTTGTGGAAGAGGTAATGGCAAAAATGAGACGCACTGATGGGAATGACAAAACAGAGGAGGGAGAGTCTGAGACAACAGAAGAGAAAACTACATTGAAACAAGTAGACAAAAGTGAAAAAATAAAAATAGGAAAGACAGAAGCTTTGGCTGAATATCCACAAGGGAGTCATGGGAGTACAGATCTGCTGGAAATGGAGCAAAGGGAAGAAAGCCTGACAGACACCACAGGGGCATCCATTACAGAAGAGAGAAACTAAGGGGCTCCATGGCAGATGGTGAGTATTGGTATGAGCCAAATTGCTAACTAAAAGAATAATTGGTTTTATTTTTATTGCATTCCTTTGTAAGGTGTCCAAAGCTGCATTACCTCAGGTAGTGCTATCCAAGCCCCAGATCTACCGAATGGTGAAATACCAAACTGTGTGATTCATTTGGAAGCAAGAGCCATGATTTCCTTCCACCATTTATTATATTCCTCACTTTCACTTCCAGTGTTTCTGAAGGGCTTGTACTGCAAAGTCAAAAGTGACTTTGAGTTGCATTATGAACAGTCACAGCTGTGTTTCATGTCTGCATCTCATGCCTCCGCTCACACTGAGTGGTGCTGTTCTCCATGAGTAGTGCCATTGGCTATACTGGCACTATATAGGAACAAGTGTACCCTATTGATGAAGAGGAAATAGAAAAAGCCACAAAATGTAGATGTAGAGATGGCCACGGAAGAAGCCATGAAGGGAGTGGCAGTGACTGAAGAGGTGGCCATGGCCGACTGGTGGTAATTGAGGAAGGTGTCAGTGGCTGAGAGAGCAGTGATAGAGAGTCTGGCAGAGCCAGAAAAGGCAGCAGTGGAAGGTGTGGCAGTGGCTGAGGGGTTGACAATGGAGGAAGTGAATAAATGAGTGAGAGTGGTGGCTTCTGGCCATAATACTGCAATGATTTTGATAAGCTATAGCAATAATCAGTCTTAGTGTTTCTGTTTGTCTCTCTCGTTCGATGAACTTGTATGGCCCCTATAATACTAGTAACCAAGCACCTCTCAATGTTTAATGTACCGTTCCCCCATACAACTAACATTTTGCTTGTTGTTTCCCAGACTGCTCTAATGCTGGACATAATTATCCTGCCTTTGATACAGTCCCAGGAAGCGGGAGAAAGACACATCGGAGTGTCCTCAGCAGATCTTTTGGTGATCTTATTTTGGGAATACTTTTTTACAAATCACTGTAGATTTTGTGCTGGCTGTGACGTTTCCTCTCAGGTTTCATTTTACTTTATGAGTAGCATAACCATCAGTTTATTTACTGGACCAGCTCCAGAATGTGCAACAGATAACTGAAGTAAGCTTATATAGCCAGTGCAGGAAATCATATTCCTTTATCATTCTGGCAATAATAATAAGGCTCTTTCCACAGCTGTCATGAATTTCTTTTTGAAATACAGAGAATTCTTACATTGGTTAAATTTGTATTCCTCCCCACCAAAAAAGAACTCTGTGGATTTTGTGATGACTCTCTTGAAGAGAGGAGGTAGCTTGCTGGCACTTGCTATATACAGTGTGAATGTATGTCTGTATATAAAATTGTACCTATGTGATTGTATTCTCCTCACAGCCTACATGCATTTGTTGACTGTAAATTCTTCAAGGCAGTGACTATGTCCCCCTGTATGTATATTGGTTCCCCAGCACAGCGAGGCCTGGATTCTGACTGGAACATCATGATGGCATTGTAATATGAATAGCAAATAATCGTAATAAAAATAAGGAGCCCAATTCTGATCTCACACAGCAGCAGTGCCAGTGAGTAGGACATGTTAGCACAGAGGGCAGGCTTGGGGACTGTAAGGACAATTGCTTCCCTCTATTACATGAATCATTTAGTGGAGAAAATAGGGCATAGAGAGGAAATGTTTTTCTCTTCAACATCCAGAGCAACAGGTCAGGACTCGACTTCAGAGAGCATTAGACAGGGGAAGGATCCAACATGTGCATGCACCTTGGTGCCAATGGAACTTAGGCCCTAGGTTCCTTACCTGAGCACCAACTGAGGTATACAGCACAGGGTGGGTGGCCAGGCACACTACCTTACTGCTACTGCTTAAAGGCATTGTAAAGAACAGTCCCCCAAGCAGTCTCCTACTGATCCATGCCCATGCAGAGCCAGCTTCTGCATCTGGGCCCCTCTGGGTTTGACTGCTGCTGAAGTGGGAAAATAACCCTGGCCCTGCAATGGCTGCATTTCCAACCAAGTCCAATTTGTGCCCATTCAAACAAGCAGATCTGGATTTGGAAGCAAGTTCCTGGAAAGAGAGTTGTGAGTGCTTGAGCGAATGTCCAAACACTTGAGCAGTCTCTCTGAGAGGTGCAGTTTGGCTGTCTTTAGGGCTCTCAGTGGGCTTGGATGAGGTCAAGAATCATGACCTGCATTACATGACCGGTCACATAGCACGAAAGGCAAATAAACATGAAGTGGTAGGTCTGGTAAGTAGCCTGCATACAAAAGGGTCATTGAAGAGATGAAGGGCTGAAAATACGTTGCTGAGCTGAATTCAACACTCCTACCCACTCTCTGCTTAATCCACCTCTCTGGCTCCAAATAGTAAGGCTGCGGTTTAATTCCCAGCATGTGGCTTGCCTACTCTTGTGTGGCTGGGCAGTTCTAGGAGCGAGGTGGCTGTGAAGGTGGAACCATGACCCTGCCTGCCAGTCCCCTGGAGAGTGTTTTACAAATCCATGGATACAGGGACAGACCAATCACTATGCTCCTCAGATGAAACAACTGGAATGCTGCCTGGTTTTCACACAGGCTGTGAAAGTGTCAGCTCTCGGTGCCATCCCTCAATGTGCGCCAGGCAGAATCTGAGGCTAAGGTCTATGATGCTTTGGGCAGTGGCCTGGCATATCCAGAAGAAGTTTAAGAAATTTAAGTCAGAGGCCAGAACAAAATAACCAATATGAAATATCCCTGCTAGATTAAGGCAGAAAAAAATGTCAGTGCAGTCCTTCAGAGTGAAAATTGGATAAAAAGCGCCATAATTAGATAAGGAACCTGTTATATAAGGATGCAAATGGAAGCTTTGGATTCAGAACTGCACAATTATAAGTATAAACAGCAGGCCTGAGCCTCTTCTCTTACTTTGCTGTCAATCGGTAAAAATTGCAATGAGTGTGACTGGTGCCATACTAATATAAAACTTATGGAAATGAGAAAACAGCTGGTTCTCACAGTATTAATCAGGCCACGCCCTTATCAAAGCAAAAGCTTCCCAGCTTTGGTGGCATCTGCACTGGTGAGCCAGGTTACACTCATCCTCTTCAAGAGCCCTTGTGTGGCAGGGATTCGCAATTAGGCATTGCTAGTGAGTGCTGAGCAATACTCTCCCCTCTCTAAGCACTGAGTTTTAGTTTTCCATCTTAGGAAATGGAATAAAATCAAGTGGATTTGCACTGACTTATTCTTTGTTTTCACATGGGATAATAAATTTAAACATGGTCAAGTACCTTGTGTTTGTTTTAATAGAGTGTTGGATTTGAGTTCCTGGGTCAGAGTCCCTAATATGCACTTTGAGAGAAAAAAGTAGCCAAGATAAATCATATAAATGCAAACAAGGAATTTCACGTGATTAAACAAGATTAGTTGCAGATTATTTTTGTATTTATTGGTAATTTAAATTGAGGCACTGTGTCAAGTGAGCCTGAGCTGCACAATTTCAATCCTTAGCCTTGTGTAATTTGTGCAATACTTTTCCTTGAATGCATGTACTTGAGTTGCAACTTTCTTGGTCTGTTTTTATCCATGGAATGTCCTTAAAGTATGAACCAGTATATTCCGCTGACCAATACAGTTTCAATTTTGTTCAATATTAACTGTGCAGTAAATGGATACAATGTGTTTACACTAGTTACAGATGAATAAATCTAGTATGTTAATTGTACTGAATTAAACTTTTCTTCATGGTCTTCTGATAACGAGTGTGTGTGTATGTGTGTAAAGGCATCTGTTTATACATATGTGTGCATATAAATTCACATATTTGCTTTAGTCTAGCTAAGTGATGCCATATTTCAGTTTGTGTAGTTATCTGGATTTTTGGAGAATCTGGATTTTTTGGCAGTCTTCTATGTAAGGATACTAATATTTAGCATTCATACAGGGGCCTGATCCAAAGCCCTTCCAAGTGGTGGGCTTGCCACTGACTGTAACTGTCTTCGGACCAAGTTAGATACAGCTCCAAAGCATTAATCTTTGTACGAACTTGTGGCACAAATAAGTCTAACAGCTGAATTTAGCCTCGTTTCCTGCCCCAAAGACAATCCATTAACAGAATGAAAATATATTACTTTTTTTAATGATGATTTTTTTTGGCAATTTTTAAAAACTCTTTGGTGAACAGTTTGTTGTAAGCCTTCAGTAGTTGAACCAGGTTGAGGAAATGTTCTTGGTCAAATAAATCACATGATACTTGTTGTTCATCGCTGATTGAATGAATGCCTAAGAATTATATCTATATTCACAGTTTTGGGAGGGGAGGTAAAAATTTTATCATCGGAATGTTTGAGGCAAGTAACTATCAAGAACGTATAAGGATACAGACAAATCCATTTAACTATTCGTTCATGGAAAGCTTGTTGCAGTGTTTCTCAGCTCTAGTTTGTACCATTATCCAAATTTTATGGACAGACAAAAGCCAATAGGAGTAAAATGATCAGCTTGCACAGCAAGAGCCAAGACTAGGACTGAGTCTGTGCTGAATTCACAAAGCCTCCCTGCCTCTTTGGCAATAGTTATTTTACTGATCACGAGATACAAAAAGGGGATTTAGGTGCCTAATTGCCAGTTTAGGAGTCCAAAGCTTGGACTTGGGTGCCCCTGGTAGTCACACAAAGCCCATTCAACTGTTACCCAATCCTTCACATGTCAAAACTCAGTCCCTACATTTTGTGGTAAAAGCTCCCTGACAATTGTGTTTCTGTCTCTGAGCATGTGAACTGCTGCCTCACTCTGGGCAGCTAGATCCCTCCCCCTGCCAAAGCCCCAGAACCATC